ACTGCTCCTTTTGGTCCACTCTCCCTAACCCCCCCCCTGCCTACTTCGTATATAAAGCAGCGCCTTTCACTTCCTAATCATTACAGCTACTGCTCTCTGCATTCACAAGCCATTCACCTGCTCTGAAGATGGAGGCGATACGTTCCTCCGAAACGTCAGTCAAAACGAAGAATACACAGCGCCAAAACCAAGAAGACGACTGTTTCATTCTTGTCCGTCACACTAACAATATTACAAATTATAAAACAGTTCCATCCAGTGTGACTATTGAAGCCCTTACTACTTCACCTCTTAGCACCCCAACATGTTTCGGTCCCTATAGACCATCATCAGAGAGAACATCAATACTTTTAGAAACTACTATTACATTGGGTGTTTTGATTTTTAAAATACATAAATATACTCGTACAGTATTTGTAATATATACTTTATACAAAGTCCAAATTTCTTACAACTACAGCAACTGTCCTTGATGCATTAAAGTTTTTTAAAAACTTTTTGTTATTTAAGTTAAAATTCTTTAACCGAATTGGTTTGTGTCCCTTGTCCTTTCGTTTTTCTCAACGGGGCCAAACTTGTGCCGTCAAGAAAAACGAAATCTAGGAAATGTCTGGTTCCAACAGGATGGTGCCACGGCCCACACAGCCCGAGCTTTGATGACAGTTTTGAGGGCAAAGTTCGCCGGATGGCTCATCTTGCTTCAAGGTGACATCCCGTGGGCAGCGCACTCACCTGATCTAACACCCTGTAATTTTTTTTTATGGGGATACCTCAAGGCAGAGGTTTTTAAACACCGCCCCACACACCTGCTTCAGCTGAAGAATGTTATTCAGCAGGAAGTAGCCCAAATTCCGGTGCACATGTTGGAACATGCAGAGGAGAATTTCAGAAAACGGTTGCATCAGTGCACAGAGAACGGTGGCCACTACCTTCAAGATATTTTGTTTAAAACTACATGATTTAAAACTTTGAAGTATGTTCTTCCATTAGCTAAACATAAATTTTGTCTATCAGCAGTAATTTTTCTTTTATTTGCCTTCAAAAAAGTAAGTTTCTATGCGCCACCCTGTAGTTTCTAAAAGTATTGATGTTCCCTCTGATGATGGTCTATAGGGACCAAAACATGTTGGCTTGCTAAGAGGTGAAGTAGTAAGGGCTTCAACAGTCACACTGGATGGAATTGTTTTATCATTTGTAATAATAATAATATTTTCTTAGATTAACATTGCTCTGCTTGCTAACTGTAACAGCCACCGTTTGTTGCAGTTGCTTATCACTCAGTCTTCTTAGCATTGTCTCAAATAATTTGAACAGTTTTAGATTTTCTGTAGTATCATGGTGATATGAATGTATGTTCAGTAGCAAATAATGAAAATTGTTTTGAATGTGTTAAGTAAAAATCCAGAAAAAGGTGTAAGTTGAATTGATAGTGAAACAGCTGGAGCTACAAGAATTTCAAGGACCTATGGGATAGAAAATATAGCATCGGTGCAAACAATGTTACCGATATGCTATATGTTCCAGGTCGCTATGTTACTACTGAGGTTCACGGTAAGATGGGAAAAACATATTTCAAAATGTGTTTTAACTGTTAGCTGTAATGTATCTCAGCCTCACACATTATTCCCCTTCTAAATAGACCAATGAACTAACTTAAAGAAATCGAAAGGTAATCTTTTTTTTTTAATGGTGTTACTGCTTTGGCCCTGATGTTCATTATTGCAGATATAAATCTAGGGTAATGAGGTTGGTCTAGAAGTAGAGACAGAGAAAACTAAGTATATGTTACTGTCTCATCACCAAAATGCAGGGCAAAATCATGACATAAAGAAAGGAAACAGATGTTTTGAAAATGTGGCATAGTTCAGATATTTGGGAACAATGATAACAGATCGAAATACCATTCAGTCCAGAACCTTTTGTCTTCTTGTCTGTTGTCCAAAAACATAAAAATTAGAATATACAAAACTATAATTTTGCCTGTGGTTCTGTATGGGTGTGAAACTTGGTCTCTGACATTAAGGGAGGAACATAGACTGAGGGTGTTGAGGATATTTGGACCAAAGAGAGATGAAGTGACAGGAGGTTGGAAGAAACTGCATAATGAGGAGCTTCATAACTTGTACTCTTCCCCAAGTATAATTAGAATGATCAAGTCAAGGAGGATGAGGTGGGCAGATCATGTAGCACAAAGGGGGGGAAACAAGGAATGTGTATAGGGTATTGGTGGGAAAGCCAGAAGGAAAGAGACCACAGGGAAGACGAGTGCGTAGGTTGGTGGACAATATTAAAATGGATCTTAGAGAGATAGGATGGGATGTTATGGATTGGATAGATCTGGCTCAGGATAGGGACCAGTGGAGGGCTCTTGTGAACACGGTGATGAACCTTCGGGTTCCATAAAATGCTGGGAAATTCTTGAGTAGCTGCAGAATTAGCAGCTCCTCAAGAAGGTCTCAGCTCCATGAGTAAGTAAGTAAGTCAGTAAAAGTGATAGCATATGGGTTGAATGGCTGCAGTTCTCTTCCTGGTGGCGATGGAATTTTTTCTTTACTACCATGTCCAGAATCACTCCTGAGGACCACAAAGTCTTAATTTCTAATGATTAATGGTTGTTTATCCATGAGAGCATGGAGCTGACCTCTCACTTCGAACAAATACCAAGATGTAGGATGTTAGCTTTATCTACGTACCCCTTTGTGGTATGGTGAGTAGACAGGGAAGCATCTGTATTTTAATCTCATTTCATACGTCTTCTAGAATGAATTTACTCTGCATATCATATTTGGACAGCATGTGTGTTACAGTATACTTTACTTTTTTGTTGTTTCATATGGTTTAATTTTAGTAACAAATAAGACTTACATCAGATTTTAGGATGATACTTTACTGGTTGGGTAGACCTTACAGCACTGAATGGCAGAATGAAGAATGATGATTTCAGAAGACTATGGAAGGAGATAGTCTTGGCTAATATTGTAGGATACTGTCCCAGCATCTACCTTGAGGAGCTGCAGCTAAGATGTAGACCCAAGACCTCAAAAATAAAAAGCAGGGGCATCATTGTAACTCATGTAATGCACAGTGACATCACCATACATTACGGGATGCTGAAACAAAACTAAATGTGATGTGTGCGACACGAAGAGCCTGTAAATGAACAAAAATTGCATAACTCAACTGGCAATGCATAGACCTGCACAAATATTATATCCACTGGTAGATGTTCACAAGATATTCTGTGCTGAATAATTACTTTGATGATGTAATTAATCCATGTCACCTGAGGATGATGTATAATTTTGGCACAGAAATGTGGCTAAATGAAACTGTGTCTATACACACACACTATTTATTGATAATATAATGTAGCATATGAGTCTGTAGGAAAAGAATGAAATATAAGTTGGATTTAGTGGGGGTACAGAAGGTCAGGTGGGACAAGGGTGACAATAAATGAGCTGACAGTTCTTTTGTGGAAGAAGAGATGATTTTCATCACTTATGTCCAGGCCTTTATGCGCATAAGAGAATCAGATCGGCTGTTAAGATGGTAAAGTCTCTTAGCGATGTGTTGTAGGTAATACTTAGAGAACATTTGTGTGATGTTACGGATGTGGATATCTTAAATGAGGATACAAGTGATAATACAAAGGAATTGGTGCATGTGTCTGATCAGTATTTTGTTCGGAGATTTCAGTGCATAAGTGGCGAGCGAGACATATTTGTAAGTGGAAGTAACTAGAATGCAGAAAATGATATTTGGGGGTATTTCATAATTTGTATGCTTCACTTAATATTATTAGGAACATTAAATCAAGGAAGATGTGATTGGGTGGGTCTATCAGCATGCATGGAAAAGATAAATGCATACAAAATATCTGTTGGAAAACCTACTGAATAAGATCTCTTGAGAACTTGGAATAGATGGGATGATATTAGAATGTATTAACAGAGAAAAGGGGCATGGGTGTGTGCTTTTTATTCAGTTTGTCATGATAAGATGGGGTTTTGTGAAGATAGTAATGAACCTTTGAATTCCATAAAAGCTGCAATTTCTTGATCTCTGAAGTCGTCCAATTTAAGCTAGTGCTTAAATTGGAATATTAAGAGCAAGACTTGGTGTAAGCAGCTTATAAACAACTGACACTTATATTCCTGTGGCACGTAATAGTGGTGCCATAGTGTCAGTTGTTTAGTGAAGCAAAAATATATACATATATTATGAGTAAAGGATGCCACTTAGCGTCTGAAATATTACACTGTGCAGCTGTGGTCTAGCGAGTTCTCAAGAATCATTGAGAATATCGCTGGACCAGCGGCTTCGAAGATATAATTTGAAGAAGGGTATTGGAGGATTTAAATTTGTAATACCCGCCTTCCTTTTGAATGATCAAATCAGAAGCAGTGATGGAATATATCTGCGAGGGTGGGAGAATTAATGTCCCAAAACTCAACGATATATTCCGAACTTCTAAAAGAGTTCTCGTTCAGTCATTCTTACGGATAGACGTGTTTCTGCATATAATATATTAAACCAGTGAGCAATTGTAATGTGTGTAGGTGTAATATTATTATCCTTTGTCTCATAATCCAAGACCTGTATAACGACCCCGAGGAAGACTTTCATTGCCACCGGAACCCAATCAACATCAGAAACTAAAGGGCGTAAGAGCGGTAGCATCTCTGAGCACCTCTGATCAACTCTTCAAGGGAAACTCTGCACCATTACTGTAATGGAGTATGGAATACATCCCTGTAAAATTGTTACTAAATGGGTCACATGCTGATCCCTTTTCCTTATGAGTACTTTTGTTGTATCTTCCAGGTTAATGTGGGGAATTTCAAGAAGCCACCACAGCGTACAAGTTCCGGTAAGGGCACTGCTGGTGGAGGTTCAGGGTACAAGGGTAGCGGTGCTGCTACAGGAACCAAGCGGAAAGGTTGTCGATGTGGCAATGCAACAGCAACACCAGGAAAGCTGACATGCTGCGGGCAACGGTGTCCTTGTTATGTGGAGAGCAAAGCATGTGTGGAGTGTCGCTGCAGAGGCTGTCGTAACCCGCATAGACCGGGTGGTCATAAGGTGCCGTTTCCATGTTGTCATAGTACTTACGAACTATGAGCATGATCTCTCATTATCCACACAGACTGGTAGGTTGTAAGACACCTTTAGCAGGTTACATAATAATTGTTTACAACTATATGCAGGAGGTAGTGGTTGTAAAGCACTGTTTTCATAATCTGCATACAACATGAGGTGGTATTTGCATGTTACATAATTTATGTCAAAAATCAGTCAAGTTCTTAGCACTCTTGCTTCATATTCAGGAGGTCCTGAGTTAAAATTTCAGCTTGAAGATTGGCTATCAGGGCTGAGGTCTTTTTTGTGGTTTTGTTTAGTCCCTCTAGACAGATGCCAGGATAGTACTTCAAGTTAGACCATGAGCACTACCTTCCATGTCCTTTCCATTTCATTAATACTCATGTCATTTGGTGCAAACAGCATTATTAAATAAATTATAAATAAATTTTTACAAATGAGATGTGGGGCTGAATCTGCCAAGTGTTGGTGTCACATGAGGGAATAATTGTATGTTGTGTTATTATTTACAAGCTATTTTCTGAGACTCCTACAAACCTTATATTTATTTATTCAGTAATATGACTGCAGTTGCTCTTGTGAACAGGTGCGACCCGTTATTCCTGAACTGCAGAACTTCCAACTCCATCTGGCTTCAAGTCCTGTTGTGGGTTCACCCACATTGGCAACTCCATGTAACACTACAGAGTCAAGTCTCACAACTATAGATTCACAACAGTGCTTGACAGTTGATTCTACTGATCTCTCTGCCAATACAGTGCAAGTACTAGGAGTGTATACGACACAGTTACACACCGTGTCTTCAGCACTTCCAGCTGCTTTACTCGTTGGAGACGATAACCTACCCTCTATTGAGAGCTCTGGTGATGAGACCAGTGATGTTGACATAGACATTTGACAATATCATCAACAGATGGCACCACAAGGGGATTGAAGAAGGGCTTCTGAACCATCTTGGAAGACTGGCACTTCTTATCTCATAATAAGGTGCTGGGAATAGACTTATCAGTGTTTTTAAGATGAAAATAAATTCCAAGGAGAGCCATCCATTAGTTCAGCTGTGCTGAGTATGGAACTTCTCAAGTCAAACTGCTCATTATTTTAGAAGTGTAACATATGAAATGCTGTAGACTTTTACTTCATTTCAGTGCAATGATTATATTCTAGCAACTCAATGGATGTTTTTGTATATAACTGCATTTCTGTACAATGATTATATGCTAGCAACTCAGTGGGTCTTTTTGTAACTACAAGACATGTTTTTAACCTGGCTTCAGGATTGTGTATGAGAAGTATGGCAGGATATAGTAGGGCAGTGGTTGCAGCTATATTATAGCTGTGAAGGAGGGTAATGCACTGTAACTAAGGCCCTGTAAAGTCCTTTACTCAGTTAATGGATGCAGCCAAATTGTGTGTGTTCTGCTGAGAATGGCCAGGGCTGAAAGCGTGGAATGTACCAGTGTGCCAGATGCAATTTGAAATACAGTAGCATGACTAATAGTTGAAACTAGAGTCTAGGTTAATATATTTGAGAGTGAAAATGATCATAAGACACTTTCAAAATGGAAATGTGCAGTAAGCACATATGTGAAGCATATTTTATATTTTTAAGTTCACTGTATCTGGATATAAGAAACGGGCCATTAAAGAAGATTTTGATTTTTTATATAAAGAGGCACATGTGCTCCTGAATTTACAGTGTTAGTGTTTCTGATGCCATAATAATCATGTCACTTGTAACAGTAACACTTTTTTGTGCCTGTTTATTTGTTTAGAACATCCCATTGTTGTCACGTGTAATAAATTTCAGCTAAATCACAATTTGACATTTGAGATCCTCACAGTGGGAACTATAAAGATTACTTTTGGGATGTAAGCCATGTAGTCTCATACATATTGTCACATGTTTCGATTACTTCCATGGAAACGCTAGAACAGACCGTTGCATAGGAAGTAACAATAGTGGTATTGTAATTCTAACAGTGAGCCGTTACGTAGAGAATGCCGAATCTCCCCGGAGATGAGTCTCCATGGTTATAACGAGGGTTCATTGCATAGCAGCGGCTGAGATTATAAAAAGGGGTTGAAGGCATTTGCCAAGTCAGTTGGAATCTAGACGCCATATGATATAGAAGAAGACAGGAAGAATACAGTCTTCAGAAGGCCACCACCAAAAGTAGTCTAGTATTGGCCGAGATATAGTGGAAGCAGTAATTGTGATACTGCAAGTGATAATAATTGTAAAGCGTGTGAGTGCAGAAGTGAAGTCCAATAAAGATTTGCTAAATCCGAGACCCACATGAAGTTATTTGTTGCGTGACATACCAAACACGTGACAACTGGTGTCAGAAGTGGGATCAGTTCAGATCAGTACAGGTTAATCGGATCAGTTCGAATTCTGAGGGGAATTTGGAAGAGTTATTAGACTAATGCTACACGAGCTAGAATGGACTCACAGCAGATGATGGAACTCCTGCTGAAAGAGATGAAGGTCATGCAAGAAAAGGGGGAGGCAGACAGAAAAGCCGCCCAAGAAGATTTGCTGTCCCAGGATGGATGCAGATAGAAAAACCGGCCACAAAGAGCTACTAGCCAAACTGGGGGACGACAGACAGGCCAATATGAAAGCATGGCGAGAAGAGATGGCCGTAATGAGAGACAAAAGGGTGAATGATAACCACAATGAGATGGCCTGCCAAGAGACGGAGGCACGTCAAGAAGAGAGAAAGCCGACCTCATTGGACAGGAAACCTGAGGCAGCAGAATGACAAGAGGTCCCCAAAGAAGACACCGATGTAATGCTGATTGGAGAACCGAGGAGGAAAAGGTGTAGGGACCAAAAACTGGCTGTGGAGCACCGCCACGAGAAACCGAAAAATTCAGCACGGGAAGATTGTAAACCCCAGAAGAAATTGGCCATCGCCCACAGAAGGACAACACACTGTGCGAAAGTGGCATGGAAAACACCAATAGACGGGGAAGATGTCCCATCATGCAACAGTGGCACGACGCAAGAGAGAGGTGTCGACCCCCTCCAAAACGAAAAAAGGGAAACAGCCCACATGGGAGGAACCGGTAATGTAGAAGTACCGGCCTCCCCCGCAAGGTTGAATGAAGAATGAATGTGAGGTGACAGAATCGACAAATACTCGACTATGGGAATGCTCGGGATGAGCACCACTGAAGAAAGGGGTGGATGCGGTAGAATGTACAGCGCATAAAGACTCGAGAAGAACAGCAAGACTGAATGCAAATGTTGCCAGCAGAACACTGCGGAAATGGAGGAGAGGAAGAACCTTTAGAAGGGAGCAATGTCACATGTTTGGATTACTTTTGTAAACATTCTCAGACTGAAGGGAACTTAACATCAGCTCCAGACAGTGGCAAGAGCTATTATTACAGTCATAAAATTTTAACTTTAGGAAGGACGACATATTTTAACTGTAAACAATGAGGTAGGTGTACATTAAGATCTGGTCAGCGAAGAAACCTGGAACCCTCTAAAATGTTTATTCTCCTATATTACATCAAGACAGGAAGTACTGTACTTAAGCCTCTCAGGTGCTAAATTATTTTTAAACATCAGTTCTCATTTCATCAGTCATATAATTTACAACTGTTCCTCAAAAATATGCTCAGACGGTGCCTCTCAAGTTCTTGTACAAAGGTTAATATACAACATAAAAATTCCTATGGAATAATATGACCATTATTCTGTGAAGGCTTTAAATGAGTTCATCTTTCATTAGCAGTCATAACCACTTAAATGGAATAAGGTGAACAGTTCTAAGAAGAAATTTGTTTAAGTATTTTACACTACAATAACGCATCTTCATTGGATCTATTTTATCACAGGAGTCGATATGTTAGGGGCCCTTCCCAGAGATTGTAGCACTGTGAAATACAGCTGAATGCATCACACTTTTGCGCCCTGATGCCATAACATCAATTCAAAGCAGAGTTATCTGAATGCAGACATCCTCTGAAGTACTCCAGCTTGATCTGACGGGAACTTTTCTTGGAATGCGCTACGAGCCAACACGATGTACCAATCTACAGGATCCCCATGGTCTCTGGCAGTAGCTCGTATAGTATGCAAGGTCCTGATGACTAATAACACAGATCTTGGCATGGAACGAAAACCTTCCATAACCTTATCAAACCTACTGCATGCCATTTCTGTTATGTACATAATGTCTTCTTCAGTTAATCTTGTCTTAAATTTCATACTGACATTCAAAGGTCTCTGTGTCAAAATTTCAACGAGTGGGCAATAATCTTCCACACCTAATTCACTTGCATGAGTCTTCATGTCGAAATGATTATTCATAATAATTGCTTTCCACAGATGAAAGAGGGCTTTGCACATGGAGGGCCGTAGATACACATACAATCCATGGTCCAACAAAACACGCTTTGCTTTCTCATCTGCATCCTCCCTAACAAGCACATTCCCAGGATGTGGATTTGCATGTACAAATCTTGTGTGGAATATCTGTTCAGCAAATGCTCGGAACAACTTTCTGTCAATTTCAGCCAATGAGAAACCCTGTCTCTTTAATGACTCAACATTGCTGATTTTAGTACCATGGATGAACTCTGTTGTCAGAACTCTCTTAGTAGTCAATTGCCATAGGACTTGCGGCACATAAATATGTGAGAAATTGTAGAGATGATAAGCACAAAGCTCTGCATTTGCGGCTTCATTAATATTATTGAGTTCATGTTTCAGAGTTTCTTGTACGCCCTCAAGAACCCATTCAAAATCAAAGTCTCAATGCAGCCATCCAACTATTTTGAGCAAGAATTTCATGGTCAAAATAACACCAGTAAAGTGATCTTGGAGATCGATATACTGGACCTTCACAGCTACTTCCCTCCCATCTTTGATTTTAGCATGTTACACCTGTGCTACGCTGGTAGTAGCAATGGGCTCCTCATCAAAACTTTCAAAGATTTCTAATTGGGGCACACCAAATTCCTCAAGAAATAACTCCTTCAATTCAGTCTTGTTCCGTGTCAAACACTTATCTTGAAGTGTTTTTAATGTTTCCACATACTTATTTGGTAAAATGTGATTGTGACATGAGTTCTTCATTCAGCCTTATGTATAGATCACCATTCCTGAGACAGGTGTCTAGAATCCTGTCAGCTGCACGCTGGTGTAACAGATGAACAGCGTCCTCATACTCTTTATTTCCCTCTTCCAGACCTATTCTCAAAGAGCTGAAAAAACCGCCGATGCCACTCAGAGTGACTTGGAGCTTTCTCTTCTCATGATTTGTCGGCTGGTAATAGCATGCTCCTGTTACGCCTGTCGCAAACGCCAGTGTACCATAATTCACATATGTAAGACAATTTTTTGGTGACTGGCTGGAAAGATGTTTTATATCTGTGTGCAAATACTTTACTCTGGGAAGTCTTCTCCTGAATGCAGTGAAACATGAATTCAGTACCAATTTGGACATAGTGCAATAATTCTTTATCCCATGCAATCTTCAATTCTAGCCTGCAATGCGGAATGAATGTGACCGACATGTCCTGGACCATAGAAGTGCTCAGTGCAAGCACTCTAGAAGAAGGTGGCGGATGGAAGGAAGGCAAAACACCGAAGGAAAGGCGGAGGTAACACACGGAAGATGAACACCTTAGGACACGAAACCAAGGAAGTACCGTTAGGCTGTTCAGGTTCGAACAACCTTTAGAAGGGAGCAATGTAACGTGTTTGGAGTAGGTACTTCCATGGTAGTGCAATAACAGTGAGACGTTGCGCCCGTTACATGACGTGACTGTCGAATTCATAGCAATGAATTGTTGAGTAACAACGGATGAGACGAGACACGTTACCAGTGTAATCTATAGGGAGCGTTCCCGAAGCAACGGATTGCAGAACACGTGAGATTGAACCTTGGCAAGGGGTGTCCTCTATTGAGTCCGCGTGTGCCTTGTATAAAGGGTCTGGCCCTTGGACGGAAGATTAGAATATTGGAGTAATGAGAACGTGACAACTTGTGATAGCTGCCGCTAGAGGCAGTTGAAATCCAACCACGGCGAAGGATAGTTGAGACGTCACATTGGAGTATTGGGCCAGAAGTCAAGTGATACTGCAAGCGATAATAATTGTAAGGTGTGTACGTGGGGCAATCCAAAAGTTTCCGAAATTTGAATTTTTCGCACGAATGGTTAATGAGTACATCAAAATACCGCTAGGTGTCCCCTCACACATCCTTGAATCAGTGTGGCAAGTGGCATCGAGTTGAGTGGTTGGGTTTATTGTCGGTGAACATATTTCCATTGTTGTGTTTCCGTGAGTTTGTGATTTTGCGATGGCTGACCTGAGAGAGCAGTGTGTGTGTGTATAAAGTTTTGTTTCAAACTTGGGAAAACTGCTGCAGAAACGCACCAAATGTTGAAGCAAGCTTTTTGTGAAAACAGTTTAGGGCAGACACAAACTTACAACTGGTATAAGCGTTTTAAAAATGGCCGAATATTGACTGATGATGATGATCGTTCGGGACGGCCATCAACGGGCAAAACACCAGAAAATGTCGCGAAAGTTAGGGATCTGATTCTGCAAGATCGTAGACTGACCATCCAAGACCTCTGTAACACCTTGGGTCTAAGTTATGGTACATGTCAACGAATTTTGTCAGAGGAACTGAACATGAGGATTGCGGCGAAGTTTGTGCCATGACTGCTGCAAAATGAACAGAAGCGGCATTGCTTGGGAGTCTGCAGAGAACTTC